ACATGCGTCTTATCTCTGTGAGATTAACAACAAAAATAGATTACACATGTACCCATATAATTTACCATCATCTGATTAGGATAAATAGAAATGTCTCCAACACCACAGCCAGTACATAAGACCTCATGGTTAGCGCACTCGTCCCCAGATTGGGCAGTCCAGGTTTGAGTCCTGGCCAGGGACATTGTGTTGTGATCTTGGGCAAGACACTTTACTCTCATAATGCCCCTCTCCACCCAGGTGTACAAATGGGTACCAGCAAATGCTGGGGGTAACTTCCTATCCAGGGGAGAGTAGAAATACTCCCAGTCACGTCATGCTAGAGAAACCAGGATAAGCTCCAGACTATGGGTCACTTCGCTCATAAGCATTACATAAGGCAAGCACAGCGATGTAAATACTGAACTTAATATGTAGTGATGTCCACTTCACTCATAAGCACTACATAAGGTAAGCACAGCGCCGTAAATACTGACTTTAATATGCAGTGATGTCCACGTCATAGGCAAGTAATGCCTGCATAGGAATGTACATGTACATGGTACACTTTGGTATTTATGAATTTATTTTACAAGAGTTGCCAACTCACTTTTCTTTAAAGTCCTTCAAGACTCGATTCATGTAGAACTGAGCTGCATCAAACATCTCTTTAACATATGGTGCTGGGGTAGGACTCTGTCAAGTATAAAATAATTCAGAACAACAAATGAAATTATATACATTGCATGATTTGATGTATGGAATTTTGTTGCATCGAGCAACAAATGCACAATAGTTGAACTCCAAAAAACTTTCAATGGATCAACCAAACAGCTAATTAATTTAAGCAAAATAAAACAAGCCAATTTTTGATGAACTTATTTTTAAAAAAGAGAACGTTAGCTCAAAAGAGTTTAAGTTCCAATTGAAAGTATATTGTAGATGGTTTCTTTCACTGGTATTGTATAAAAAAAACCCTTCAATTTCAGTTATCTGTTTGACTATGTCTGTTTCATTCATTCACTGGTGATTTTTTTGCCATTTGATGTAACCCAACAGGGGATTCATTAAGGGCTGGGCACCAGGAAAATTGACCAGCTGTGAAAAGACCTTTACCTGGCTGCTTTATCTGCTTTCAGAACTAAATACGTTTTAACATGTTCACGTTTGCATTTATAGTCAAATGCAAAGACACAAAAGTTACTCACATATCAAATTAATGACTTACACAAAGTAGGCTTTATTGATACATTCACCTTTGCACTGTACATAGCTATTTACTCTATTGAAGACATTACAAAAGGAACGTAAGGAGCTTACCACTGATACCCAACCAAGAGCAGGAATGGCTTC